ACGTTGACAAGTGTATAAGGAGTGATATCTTCAGCCTTAAATTCCTCAAGGAAATGAATGTTTTTGGACTGAGCTTCTATTTTATTGATTTTATGATAGGAAAAAACACATGAATTTTAGGGCCAATTCCCTCACAGTGTAAAACTACTCGCTGGCAGTAAATAAGGAGTTACATTACCTCTTTTGAGGAATTAGTAATTGAAATTATACCCTAGTGACTTAGAAGGAGTTACCTTCTTAAGCTGCTAAAAGAAATGAAATGGAGGATTGTAGCTTAGCTGAAAAAGGAACTCTAGTTGCAGACTTAGGAACCACTAAATAAAAACCAAGGTGACGGGCCTGCCTGCCCACTTAGTTCCTTCCTTCCCCTCTTGGTTGGCCCTTCCCTCCCTCCATCCCTTCCCCAGCATCCCCGCCCCCTCCGTCCCTCATTCTTCCATTTTTCATTCCTTATGAACATATTCACGGAGCCCCTGCCACATGCTGGACGCACATTCCTCTTACTGCGGCCAGAGTTTCACTTCTCATTACTTAGCATGTTTATGTTGATTATGTAACATTCAGCTCCTGCTGTTCATTCAGAGTATTTGGCAAAGTTCTCATCTTTCCCTAATTTATGTCAACTTGTTATACGACATGGGCTGTATCATTTTATCCCTTCATTTTCGGAGTAATTATTTGATCTTAGATACACCTTTCTAAGTCCCAGCTGACTCATCTTAATAACGATAATAATAGTAATAATAATATACAATGTTCATGGTTATTATGCAGATAAAATTGAATGGTTTAATGTATGGAGCTTAAATCGTGGCTCATTGTGGATGGTAAATGACACTTTTATTGAAGACCCTCTGTATACATAATATCATACTGGGGAATAACAGTTTTACAAAAGAAATGTCTTACAGTCTCTGACCGACTTTTAGAAACTTATGTTCTTTATTATTTTTCAAATTTAGAATAATGTAATTTTGTTATTTCTTTTATTACATGGCATGTGGCAACAAGTTCAAAGAATTTTGAGCTATTCCATAGGGAAAGAAATTAGTGAGCTATTTCTCCTTGATATCCAATGAATTCTTGATACATAAATAGCCTCCTCTTTCGAGTGGAGTCCAGGCCCGTCTTAATCCTCCCTGGGCCTCTGGACTAATTCTCTGGCTTCCAGTATCACTATATCCAATCCACCCACCCCCTCTTGCTTCTGGATGCTTTCTAAAATCCAAATGGGCCAATGCCACATTCCTTTTAAAAGTATGTTTAGCAGGTTATTTTGCACCTTCGTGATAAAAGTCAAACTCATTTTACTTGCTGGACAAAGGCTTCGGCGATCCAGTCGTTTCCCATCTCCATTACTTGCCGAACTTGCAAAGAGCACGCTGCCCTAGGCCTCTTGGCCCCGGTTCTGGTATGTGTGGCTCCTTCTGCCTAGAATGCCCCTTTCTTCCTCGATCATCCTCCCATTATGATCGTGCTTGTGTCTCTCGTTAAGTGTCATCTCCATCAGGCAGCCATCCCTTGTCCCTTCCAAGCCCACAAGCTGCTCCTTCCTCTGCACTCCCAGAGACCTCACCTGAGTCTTCACATGCTGTCGTAAGAGTACGTCCTTTGTCTGGATCCCTGAGACTGCCAGCTCCTCAGCTGTGGGAACTGGGTCTTGTCTGTCTCCTCACCACCTAACCCATCTGAGGTTCCATCTAGAGCGCTGAATCCATAAATGGTCTCAAACTGTCTTCTGACATCCAAACCTGGATACTCGGCAGACCCCTCAAACTCTTCCTTCCCCCAAAATGCATCATCGTCTGCGTGGACCCAGCTCCTCCTGGTGCTGCTCCTGTCATTGATACAGTTTTCTCCCCTACCCACAATATTGTCTCCTCTGTCTAAAGGCCACATATTCCATGGTCTGCTCCCATTGTTTTTGGACCCACTGGTTCCCGTTTTCTCTCATGCATCCTAGTTCTAACACATCGGGTCCCCTGTTCACCCACGTGGGCCCCGCTTCCCCTCCCTTCTCTCTTATATTGTCCTTGACGTTTGGAATGACCTTCCTTCTCTCACCTTGTTCTGATTTGTTCTCCTCCTTAAGGCCGTTCTCGAAAATCAGCTTCTTAATGAATCCTTGCTTTCCTGATCTCAGGAAAGAGGTGTCATTTCCAACAAAGTATCTTATTTTACATTACGAAACTCCGAGGTAGGTTACTACTTCACAGTTGAGGGGACTGAGGCTTAGAAAGGCTTATTAAATGGTATAAATCCTCAGATTCAGGAAGCCTGATGGATGCCATGCTGTGCTGGTAAATGTTTAACAACTGGCTCTCTGTGAAAAGAAAAAAAAGCCCCCATTCATAGTATTTGCCAGTCTCCGTGGTGTTTCCTACCACAGTGGATTTCAAGCTACCAATGAGACATCAGGGGAGCTTCAGGCTCAACAAATAGCTTGTACACCATGCCCTAGGTTGATACTTGGCTGTCATATTCTTCCTTCTGCAATTTGATATTTTTTAAAAAACCAAAACTGACTGCAGTCTTTAAAATTACCATTGCCCCATATCCCCAAATGCTAGAGAGATTGTGCCAGTCAGTGTGCCCTTTCCAGGGGTGTCCCCTCTCATTTAGTCATAACAGCAAAGCTGCTGCAACATTCCAGGGGGTACCGCCACCCCACTGACCACCAACAGTGGGTCCTTCTTGCCACCTGGCTGGTGAGTGACCCAATTCCAGAACCCTATTCTGAGACTTGCTTCACAGGGCCAAATCTGGGGTAACTGGCTTGGTTTGAGTGCCATGGAGGCAGAGCCTGAGGTAAGGATTTGAGTGCCAACAGCTGATTTGGGACGGGATCCCAGGAAACCCCAGTGGGGGAGTGGGGAAATGGGACAAGGCAGGGACACGAACTAATAAGAGCTGTGCTATGGAGCAGGTTTCTGTGTAACTGGAGCTCAAAGCTGAACCACTGGAGCCATAGTAGAAAGCGCCTTACAGGTACCTCCCTCCCCTCTGGGGTGAGGGAGTTTGGGTCCTGATCTACTCACTGCCAGCATTCGCAGGTAGGAATTCCCTGGCACTTCAGGTCTTCCCCAAACGCAGGCAGAGCGGGTTCTGATGACCAGAAAAAGAAGATTATCTCAGGTGGGGGCAGTTGGAGGCTGGCTCAGGGCGCAGAAAAATATTCAGTTCAAGGGCATGTTTGCTCTGCCTAACAGCACTATTATACCCCAACAGTGTGGATGCTGTGGGTTGTTTTTCAACTGACCCATGGACAAAGCTTGAAGATGCACTTATAAATAAGAGAAGAAAGTAAACTCTTGGTAGTATAAAAATGAAACTCAAATTAACAACATTAGGAGCGGTAGGGGTGGAAAGGTGAGAGAGAGTATAAATATAGGAATTTCCTCATCTCCCACAGCACGGAGCCAATAGGCAAGGCGTGAAATTTATAAATAATGATTGAGGTAAACAATTTAAAGTCATGAAATCTTCCACCAGTCGAACTAAAAGTAACGTAATTTTTAAACTTAGGAGTTGGAAGAGAAGATAGATTTTTATCCTCTGGAAAGATGCTATTTGCAGCTGATAAGTCGAGACGTAGAAGTATGTTACTTAGAGTTATAATGAAAAGGACAAGAAGAACTAAAACAAACAACTGTCATTGGGTCTAGGGAATGGTACCAGGTGATGGATAGGTGAGTAGGAAGGATCAGAGACTTCTACTTTTCCTTTAATATTTCCCCTTTTGTTTGGGTTTTTAACCAATGGTATGAATTACTTCCATAACAAACAAAACAAATGCAAACAAACCACAGTCTAATTACAAAAAAAAAGTTGGGAATACCCCTAAATAGAATACTATGCAGGAGTTAAAAAGAATGAGGCAGGATCTATATGTTCATACATCAAAAGATGATCAAGATTTATTAAGTGAAATTAGTAATCTAAAAGACCTTAAGCATAGGATCCAAACTATGGAAGGGGAAAAAGCTCATGTGTGTAGTAACCTATCTATGTACAAAGTTGTCTGGAAAGATACATACTGTACCAATTTTAACAGACGCTGCCAGTGGGGAGAAGAGTCCTGCTCAGCAGGAATCTCCACTTCTACTTTCTTACTTGACATACACCATTTGTGTCTCAGAGATGATCGGCAGCCCATCTGCTTTAGGACAACCAGAGCTCCTTGTGAAAATGATTCCTAAGACCTACTGCAGACCCACTGAGTGAGAACCCCTGGGGTGGAGTTCTAGAATCTGCACTTTTTTCTTGCACGCTTCCTGGTATGTAGCTTTGAATTTCCTTACCTTTCCCAACACGTTCTTGCAAAACTGTGCAAACACACGGGGTATAAAGAACAGCCCAACAGTATATTGAACGTCCATACACCCTCCACTGTAGCCTACAGTGTAGACGCGCGCTCTCCCGGTGAGCGCGCGCACATACACATACCCGTATACATGTACACGTTCTCTCTGCGCGTGCACACACACGCATGCATGTACGTGCCGGCCTGGTGAGAGGGTGCACACAGCGCAATGCGCACACACGCATGCATGCACACACATTTCGGCCGCACGTTGGAGAGAGCAGGCGGCAGACATCAGGACTCTACCCGCCCCGCCCCCATCCTTCCTCTCCCCCGGCTTCCAGCACGCTCGTTTACACAGAACAGCCCGCAGGCGCACACCGGAAACATTTCAGACACCTCTGCTGCCCCAGTCTCCCCTCCCCTCCCCTCCCCTCCCCTCCCACGCGGCTTCCAACGCAGTCCCTCAGCCTCCAGCCTCCGGATACCCTGAGGCCCCCCCCCC